TTGCCGTTTCGGCACGAATAATATAGTCAGTGACGCTCTCATTAGCGGCTTTCTGCAGCGACGTTAGTTCAGTGTAGAGGCTGATCACCCGTGGTTTCCCTTTCCCAGCGTAGTGGTCCCTCAGTATTTGTAACGCTTTTCTTCCGTTGTCCGCTGCTTCTCTCATGATCAGTGAAAGGCTTTTATCGTCCAGTACCTGGATCAATTCCGCATAGGCTTCTTCGTTTTTCTCATCATCAGCCTCATCCTCTACACCTGGCTCCTCTAGGATGGCAGCCTTCAATCCTAGCAGTCGCAGGTGACCCAAAAACTTTGTCTCCCATAACTCGTAGTTCTTCTCATCTCCGTCGAAACACAAACGGTTCCACCGGCTTCCATGGTCCCTCCTGGGCCCATAACCTGTTAGCGATGCCATGATCTTAGGGCAGGAATACCGTGAACATAGTTTAACGTGACAGAGGAATAAATACACACGTACACCATCAGCTGTGCTTCAAACGGAAGTGACACGTTTTATTGCGCATGTCCCTTTTATCACGGGAATACAGGAAGTGATTAGTATAAGAGTACTAAATAAACAGAATTCATATATTACATTTCATAATTCAACAAAGGGAAACAATTAGTGATGGGAATTATGGCTCTTTGAAGGGAGCCGGATCTTATGGCTCCGTTCCTTTTAAAGAGCCGTTCAAAAGAGCCGTTTTTTTTAAAGGGGGCGGGGTTACTAGGTTTATCTGCGAAATAATCACCAGGATAATGATTGACTGTATTGCCAGACCTAATGTCAATAATCTGCATTGTAAACATGACACAAGGTGGTGCTATATCCATGTCATTCATGTCAGTGAATGTACTACTTTGAATGTATGTGTTAAGTAAATAAAGTTGCCTTGCCTTGAATGAAATTCATGCAACTCTTAATATTAGATAGTGTGTTTTTAAGTGGCGATGGAGATTATTTGTTGACCCTGCTTTAAAGGATATTTTGCCTTTACATATGGTGCACTTTATCACTGCCTGGGTTTTGGTTGAAGTGCATCCAAATGCTGCTCCGTTTTCGCGTTTGGCTCATTTTCCATCCGAAAAACACGTCGTCTACCTGTCCTGTACCACTTGTTATGACTTCTTTCTCTCGTGCGTATTCCGTTAAGACCAACCCCACCTCACTCCTCGTGCTGAAACCTACCAATCAGAGTAGGGGCGGGTCTTCACAGAATACGTTTGGGGAACAAAATCAAGCTTTTTAAAAGGCGAGTGGATTTTGGCAGGCAGTGAGTGCGGACCAACGATTGAACGATAACAAGAACGGCTCTCACCAAGTACGACTCGGTTCCCCTCGTTCGTACCAAAGAGCCGTTTAAAAGAATCAGCTCGTTCGCGACCGACACATCACTAGAAACAATAACATAAAAACAACATTTCCCAACACTTGTTCAGTAAGTTGCATGAATCACTTTTGTTTGCCTTCTGGCCTGGGTGAATCTTTTCTCACAAGTGTCACATTTGAAACGATTTTCACCGGCAGATCGGAAGTTACTATTAAATGTACTCAAGTTCTGTACTTAGCCTAAGTACAACTTCTTTGGGATACTTCACTTGAGTATTTACATTGTATACTAGTTTGTACTTGTACTCCACTACAATTCAGAGGTAAATCGTGTGCTTTGACTCCACTACATTTATTTAGTTGGCGCTTCACTTCGCTCCACTGCAGGTTTAGTTTACTTTGCAGATTTGGATCCTGTTAAGCCCGGAGCCTGTTTCTCAGGTCTCAGGCTTGAACAGTGGCGGCGCCAGGGTATGGCTGGGGTAGGCTACAGCCATGCCAAGAAATGGCTTAGCCCCACCTTAATGTGTATTTTATGTTAGTAAAATATACATTAAATATCCTGGGGGAGAATCCCCCCAGACCCCCCCTGCAGGGGTTGGGTTTTCAGCATGTCAACTCTTTCACCTGTGGGGAAATTGCAGGATTGACTCCAGGTCGCCCTTTTTATTTACTACAAGACAAATGTGCCTTTTTATTTCATACAGTTCAATTTGGATTGAGACTAAATAATCTAAACCTCACGCGTGGCGTTTCACTGTCAAGGGGGGGCGATATAGCGTGTGTGTAATTACATTACAAATACTGATTTGAGCCCCACCACTGTATGGGTTAGCCCTACCATAGATTACCCAACAAAAATACTCTGGAGCCGCCACTGACCGCAAGGGTCTGTACTTGGACCCATCCTGTTCATCATATATGCTACCATTCGGCAATATCATAAGGAATAACTCCATCAATTTTCATTGCTATGCAGATGATACACAATTGTATCTATCAATTAAACCAGATGTACAATTTCCATTAGTTAAACTGCAAGAATGCCTCACAGACATAAAGACATGGATGACCAGCAACTTTCTATTATTAAACTCTGACAAAACAGAAGTCATTATACTAGGCCCCCAGCACCTTCGGAACAAACTGTCCAACAACATCATTTCTTCGAATTGTATTACCATGACCTCCAGCACCACGGTAACAAATCTTGGTGTTATTTTTGACGAGGATTTGTCTTTTAAATCCCAAATAAAGCAAATTTCAAGGACTGCCTACTTCCATCTACGGAATATTGCAAAAATCAGGCACATTCTAAATCGCAACAATGCAGAAACACTAATCCATGCTTTTATCACCTCCAGGCTGGATTATTGCAATTCCCTTTTATCAGGCTGTCCAAACTCATCATTAAAGACCCTTCAATTCAAACAAAATGCTGCAGCACGGGTTTTAACAGGAACAAAGAAGATGGACCACATCACTCCTGTTTTAGCAGCATTGCACTGGCTACCAGTTAAGTCCAGGATTGATTTTTAAATACTTTTACTCACATACAAAGCGCTCAATGGTCAGGGACCATCCTACCTACAGGATCTTTTAATCTCCTATTGCCCCTCTAGGGCATTAAGATCCCAGAGTGCAGGTCTGTTGGTGGTTCCCAGAGTCCACAAAAAAAGATCAGGTGCTAGAGCTTTCGGCTACCAAGCGCCGTTCCTCTGGAATCAACTTCCAGTGACGATTAGGGAGGCAGACAGTGTCCACACATTAAGAGTAGGTTAAAGACTTTCCTCTTTAGTACAGCGTACAGTTAAGACTGGTTTTAAACCCCCTTTTATACATCCTCATGGACCCTTCGTTTTATGGAATTTTATTGTACTCTAACTGTATTTGTGTCATTGTGTTATGTTCCTTTTTAAATTACGTTTGTTGTGTTTACATTGTTTTACATTGCCAATTTTGTTTGTTGACTTGTGAAGCCCTCTAAGACAAATAGGATTTGTGATTTTGGGCTATATAAATAAACTTGAATTGAATTGAATTAAATATATACACTGCAAAAAACAAAGAAAATAGGAGTAAAAGTAGCTCACGACAAGTGGGGCTTGAAAAGGCCCACCTGTTCAAAGTAGGGAATGGCAGAAAAAGTTTGAGAACCACTGCACTAACACCATCACCAACTCTACGTCCGACGTAGACCCGAACCTTTTAAAGAACATCCATAAACATTCTTGTTTGCATTTTGCAAATTATTTATCTGATATATCATTCCATTTACTTGTATTTAGACTCTTCTTGCACTATTTCTATTTTATTTGTATTTACTTGCACATCTCAAAACATTGTCTTGCACTATTTTATCTGTTTTATTTGTTCTATGTCCTATATCTGTTGCACTGTTGGAGGAGCCTGTGGCCTAAGTTTTTCAATGCCATATCTACACTGTAGCGACATGTGCAAATGACAATAAAGCCTTGAAACTTGAAACTCATGAAGTCTGTTTCTGATTGTTTGGTCAGAGACATTCACACCAGTGGCCTCCACCTGGAAAACCATCCCTGTTTTGGGGATCGTCTCATTGTTGCCCCTCAAGTGCACCTGTTGTTAATTGTGTCAATAACAAAGCAGATGAAACTGATTAACAACCCCCTCTGCTACTTAACTGACCAGATAAATAAACTAGAAGTTTAATTGACTTGATGCTATACTCTGATTAAAAACGGTTATATCTGTAGTGTTTAGGGTGAATCTGGTCATCTTACATTATCACCATATTGTTTATTGTTAGAATATCACACAACATTAAGTGCACCAATCATTACTATTCATTCCTGTTGGGGAAATATTTTCCAAGGCCCATAACTTTGACCCAGTTTATCAGTTTAAACTGTCCTGACTGAGCACAGGCACCTGCAACCTTGGCTGTTGTGCTCTCAGTGTTTTGTCTCCCTGTTCCTGCCTGTTGGCGTCAGCTGATAGAGGTGTTAATATTCTATCTTGTTATGCACAATGTTGATTACTCTCAGGACTAGCTAAATACATGGGTCTGGGGTAGAGTTCTTCAAAATTGATTGTGGCATCTCAACCGTGTGGTCAGACCGTCCGTGGCCCTTTGATATGTCTTGTGAATTCTCCGGCCGAAGCTCCAAATAAACCGTCAGTGTTTGCCACTGTATATAGGTTGCATTGCTCAGTCCCAGAGGTAGCTGCTTGGTGAACATTCATTCAGATGAAAAAAGTGCTGCTTATGTGCCTTGTTACTTGTCTGGGTACATATGGAAATCCACTAAACAATAATAATAATAATAGATTTATTTTGTTAGCGGTTTTACAGGTGCTCAAAGTTGCTTTACAGAGATAGTGAAAAGAAAATAACAATAAATAAATATAGTTAAAGTCAAATTAAAATCAAGCAAAACAAAAACAATCACACATTAAAAGCCAGATTGAAGAGGTGAGTTTTTGTAAGTTTTTTGAAGGTGGTGAGGTCAGTGCAGTCTCTGATGGGTTGTGGGAGTGAGTTCCAGAGGGAGGGGGCAGCGACGGAGAAGGCTCTGTACCCCCAGGTCCGGTGCTTGATGCGGGTGGGGATGGATAAGAGGTTGGCTTCTGATGAGCGGAGGCAGCGGGAAGGGGTGTGGTGGTGCAGCAGGTCTGTGAGGTAGGGGGGGGGGGGGGGGCTGATTGTTGAGGGCTTTGTGCGTTATGAGCAGGACTTTGAAGTCGATTTTTTGACGGACGGGGAGCCAGTGGAGGTTCTGGAGGACGGAAGTGATGTGGTCTCGGGAGCAGGTGTGGGTGAGGAGGCGGGCAGCAGAGTTCTGGATATGTTGGAGTTTATTGAGGAGGTTGGATGGTATGCTGTAGTAGAGGATGCTATTGCAGTAGTGGAGTCGTGGTTCAATAATTCATCGCTATGTCTGAAATTGTTCCCACATGCTTTACAAGCAAACGGTTTCTCACCTGTGTGGACTCTCATATGCCTTTTTAATTTTGACATCTGAGTGAAACTTTTCTCGCAGGTCATGCAAACATACGGTTTCTCACCTGTGTGGACTTTCAAATGCCTTTTTAATTGGGACATCTCCTTGAAGCTTTTCTCGCAGGTCATGCAAACATAGGGCTTCTCTCCTGTGTGGACTCTCATGTGACTCTTAAAGTTACTGTTAAATTGGAATTTCTTCCCACAGGTTTTGCAATCATATTTCTTCTCTCCTGTGCAGATTTTCATGTGATTCTTAAAGTCAATGTTGAATCTGAATTTGTTCCCGCATGTTTTGCAAGTGAATTTCTTTTCATGGACTCGCATGTGTTGCATCAAGTTGCTACTTTCTCTGAAACCTCTTCCACATGTTTGGCAAGAATATGGCTTCACATCCGTGTGGGTGGCCATGTGTCTTTGCAATTTTGACATGAACTTAAAATCTTTCCCACAAGTTTCACATTTGAAATTCTTCACTGTGCAAGTATTATGTTGCATGTCTGACAAGTTAGCTGTGTGGACTTTCATATGCCTTTTAAATTTGGACTTCTCATTGAAGCTTTTCTCACAGGTCATGCAAACATAGGACATGTCTCCTGTGTGGATTCTCATGTGACTCTCAAAGTCAATGTTAAATCTGAATTTTTTTTCGCATGTTTTGCAAGTATATTTCTTCTCATCTGTGTGGACTCGCATGTGGTACATCAAGGAACTACTTTCTCTGAAACCTCTTCCACATGTTTGGCAAGAATATGGCTTCTCATCTGTGTGGATGGTCATGTGTCTTCGTAATACTGACATGTACTTAAAATCTTTCCCACAAGTTTCACATTTTAAATTATTTTTCACTGTGCAAGTATTACGTTGCATGTCTGACAAGTTAGCGTTGTTTACATTGTTCCTTTTGGTCTTGTGATGTCTTTTGTTTATTTCTGGATCTGCAGTTCTTGTTAACCCTGAGTCATCAGAATTGTGAGAGATGAGCTGCAGATGACTTTGTGCTTCTAATACCACAACGCTTATAACTGGCATGTTGCCTACAGACTCTTTTGCACAAGTCTGACCGCTGTGCACACTTTCCTCATCAGTAAGAGTCACCATGAAGACATCAGTCTCCTGCTTTAGTCCAAGCTGCTCTTCCTCCTGACTGGTGCAAAGTTCCTCCTGTTCCTCTTTAATCTGTGGAGGCTCTGGGTCCTCTTGGTCCAGACTGGAGTTCCTTTCCTGACTACAGAGCTGCTGGTCAGTGAGAACCTCCTCCTCATTACAGACATGTTGCTGAGGGAGCTCTGGAGGGACAGAAAATAAACAAAGTACTGTTAGTGTCGTGTTAAGGAAGCAAATTGCATTCAATGCTGGGCAATGGTGTTAAGATCAATATCACAATATCAAGACAACAACAAACAAGACTACAGAAATGCATTATGCATAAAATGTATAAATCAATGTTATGAAATAAAAATAAAAACATTAGGCCAACATATTCTAACAATGTGTATTTTAACTGCTGTGCTTTGTGTATTTGTAATAGAACATATTATACTCACTTACTTACTTTAATAATATCATTGTGTGATTCTTATTTGCTAATGTGTATCTATATTTACTACTTTTCACACATCTTAGATAAGCTTGGGAACATTCCTTATCTAAATGTTGTTAGTTACACTCTATGTGCACCAACAGTATGACCTTCAACTCTGCTGAACTGAGAATATCCTGATATGGCATCCCTAACTCCCTAACTTCCAGAATGCTCCATTGTTATCACCAAGCGTCACCCCTCCCTATCTCCTCTCTCTGTGTTTGAATATGCAACCCAAACTCTATTCTTTGTCTTTCACTCTGCAGACTGTATGCTTTCTGTATGACTGACTGAACTTTCTTGCAAGAAATAAAATACGACAAAGACAGCTGAATGGTTTGATTCTCTATCCACATTTGATAAAGAAATTCCCGCCACAGTATTTGTGATCTGTTGTTTGGGATCTGAATGTGGATTAATAAACAGAAAATAGCTAACGAGAGGCTTTAACTATAATGAATCCCATTCAGATTGTTTTATAATTTGTAAGAACTTGATAGGAAACTAGAAAATTCAGAGAAATGTTGACTGTGTGACTGAAACTTGGGTGCGCGTCCCGATGCTAACATTACCCCCGCTGAGTAAGTATTAATAGCATTAGTTGTATTGTTAAGGTACAACAAAGAATATCCATTAATTTTAGCTCACTTTTAGCTGACGATTTTAAATGTATATCTATTACATTTTTGGATTCTTGTACCACATTCCTGCATCGTTCCTGAACATCTTTAGATTACCACTGGATTTAGTTAACGACCGACAGGTGTGTTCAAAGATCAAAGTGTTTCTACGGCAACGCCCTGCCAGTGAACGAGAGACAGCCTGTCAGAGAATGTATTGACAATATTGTGCTGCATTATTGCTTCTAAGTAAAAAACTGTAACTCCAATCAGCTAAATATCCTACCCAGAGTATTTAGGATACCAGATGAACACCTGATGGCTCTCGTGTTTGCTATATGTGCAAGTCCGTTTGATTAAATGAGCATATCGGTGCGGCCGGGACAAATATCCCTACATTGTGATCACCAAAGTATGAAGAGTGAAAATTGTGGCCAGCCGAGCAATAGTTGGAAAAAAACCTCAGAATATTCTCCAGCTCCTCTCCCCTTTAGTCGTGATGTCACCACTCTAAGTCTTAACAAGCTTTCCCATACGGCCCGTCCACACTTCTTCTGTTGAAGCTTCAACGCTTCTTCCCATTCACTTTGAATGGGGTGACGTCTCGCTTTGCCGAACTACATTGTGTTTCCGTTGCTTCGCTTTGCTCGCGTTGCTCGCTTCAAAAGTTGAGCAATGTTCAACTTTTGAAGCTTCGAAGGAAGCGTCAGCCAATCAAATCATATGCCAGTACAAGCTCTAGCCAATCAAACCGCGTGCTTGTGTGTCCGGGGCGGGAGATTCATGTGATTGGTTGTTGGTCGAGTTTCAGACACGCCCGCCGGTAAGCTTCAACGCACGCCACCGTGTGGACGCTGCGATACACACCCATTATAAAATGTGAAACAGTGTGAAATGTCCACAAAACGTAAGCTGCGACTACGTGAGAACCGTACTAGCTATCAAAAATATCCAAATAGTCTAATAAAGTCCATAGTCTCGAGAACCGTTTAAAATTGGAATTATTGTTCTACGTTAAAGTATGCGGAATCTGTATGGGGTCAAAGGAGTGTTTCTGAGCTCTGTTCAAATGGATTTCCCATTCATTTCTATGGAGAAAATGATCGCAGTTTTCAGCGAATTTGCGTGAAAACGGCTAGGCGAATCTCTTATAAAAGACATAGCAACCCGATCTCGGTTATTACGAAACGTTTTGATGTGTTTTTTGTGTGTTTAGTGTCAACGCTGCCGGACGAGTAGCATGACAACCTTTGTGACGGAAGAAGGAGAATAAGATGAGATAAGTATGTTGAATACTATACTGTGTGTGGCTTCGGCAGTCACACAGAATAAGAAAGTATTTTATTTTTTGTTACACACCTGTTCTGTGCAGCTTTATCTGGGGCTTGCCTACAGACTCTTTTGCACAGGTCCGTCCGCTGTGCACACTTTCCTCATCAGTAAGAGTCACCATGAAGACATCAGTCTCCTGCTTTAGTTCAAGCTGCTCTTCCTCCTGACTGGTGCAAAGTTCCTCCTGTTCCTCTTTAATCTGTGGAGGCTCTGGGTCCTCTTGGTCCAGACTGGAGTTCCTTTCCTGACTACAGAGCTGCTGGTCACTGAGAACCTCATCCTCATTACAGACATGTTGCTGAGGGAGCTCTGGAGGGACAGAAAATAAACAAAGTACTGTTAGTGTGGTGTTAGGGAAGCAAATTGCATTCAATGCTGGGCAATGGTGTTAAGATCAATATCACAATATCAAGACAACAACAAACAAGACTACAGAAATGCATAAAGCATGAAAAAAGTTTATTTAAAAAGCATGCGGCCACCCACTTTAAAAAAAAAGATATAACATGTTTTAACAATGTGTATTTTAACTGCTGTGCTGTGTGTTTGTTGTTTGAGATCTGATCATGAATTAATAAACAGAATGTGGTTCTATCATCACAATAGGATGCAGTATTTAGCAATCAATTCAGCATTGTATGTCTTAACTGGTCAAGTAGTCCTTCTATTCTATTTGATTGTTTATTTACAGCTGATTTCTTGAATATATATAATAATTAAATATCTCATACAGAAATGAGCAGAACATGGAAATACTTAATGGAAGAATAAGTCCCTCCTCAATATTATATATGGGTAAATATTTTATATATACAGTCTATGGTAAATATACTAGAAGAATAATACATTTGAAGAGTACACCCTCACAAAATATAGCTAACGAGAGGCTTCAACCATAATGAATCCCATTCAGATTGCTTGATAATGTGTAAGTACTTGATAGGAAATAATAAAGTATTTCATTGTTTGTTACACACCTGTTCTGTGCAGCTTTATCTGAGGCTTCAAGACGGTATCCAATAATCTGCGCTGACGACAAATCTCCTCCTCGTATGCTGATAAAGCTTGAGCAAAAACTCCAAATATTTCATCGGCAGCTGCAGCTAGTCGCTCGTTGATAACACTTCTCAGTTTCTCAACTGCAGCCATTTCTACTGTGTGAAATATATGGATGTATGAAGAGACAAAATAAGCCAAACCAACTTTTCTCGTTGGCATTATGAACTACACAACTTCCGGTGGAATGTTCTTCTTCGTTGGTTTAGGGAGTCGGTCTGCACTGATAAAGTTACATTACCACCACCTACTGGATTAACATTCAAAAATACATTGTCCAAATCTCCCACAATAACTAATAAGGGAAACAATAACATAAACAACATGTTCCCCAACACTTGTTCAGTGAGTTGCATGAATCACCTTTGTTTGACTTTTGGGTGAACCTTTTCTCACAAGTGTCACATTTGCAGTTATTCCTGCAATAAACAGTATTTCATTGTATTTGACTGTATATTTAATTGAACATTCTGTTCTTGTATATCTTATTCTATTTACATGTATATAGACTCCTAAATGTACTTAGTCAATTACAACACTCTATGCATTATTTAGTTTATTGTATTTATTTATTGTTCCGACATATATATATAGTTTACTTGATCTGCATTACTTGCACATTGGTCTTGCAACATAACCTTCTTCTACTATATTCTACCGTTTTGTCTTGCACTATTTGTATTTATTATTTGTATCTCTTTTATTGTGTTATGTCCTATATAACTATGTTACAATGTTGGGGGAGCTTGGGACTTCAGATTTGCAATGCCATTTTCTACACTGTAGCTACTGTGCATATGAAAATAAAGCCTTTCAATTTTGAATCTTTGAATTTGAAATGCTTTTCCCCGGCAGAGGAGTAAAGTATATTTACTCAAGTACTGTAACATTTTTAGATACTTGTTCTTTACTTGAGTATTTCCATTATTTGCTAGTTTGTACTTCTACTCCACTACAATTCAGAGACTAATCGTATACTTTTACTCCACTGCATTTATTTTGTACCTTTAGTTATTTTACAGACTTGGATTAATGATGTGAAATATAATAAACACTTAAATAAGACTTTAGTTACACCTGGAGTAAATTCACAATCTACCCTGCAGCAAAGAAAGTGATTAAAACTAGCTGCACCTTTACCAGCTTTGACTAACACTTTAATGCATCAATAACTATTATTAAAATATATATATATTATTCCGTAAGGGAAAATCTGCAAAATAAGTGCTTTTACTTTTGTACTTTTACTTGAGTAACCTTTGAATGTAGGACTTTAACTTGTAACAGAATATTCCTACACTCTTGTACTTCTACTTTTACTGAAGTACAAAATGAGTACTCCTCCCACCTCTGTAAACCGGTGTGGGACCTTGTGTAGATTTTTTTACTTTAAGAAATCATGAAACTCCCCATTTTAAACATTTGTTCTCTGGTTCCTGATCAGTACGGGTCTTCTTGTGAATTGCTCTTGCATGGCTTTTGACTCTGTGAGAGTTGTGAGAAAGGTAGTGGACACTTTGGTTGGGATGAATCTGGGCCCTTTCTGTCAGATTCAGATTTTAATATTATAACTGAGATGTTGGTTAGTGGCAGTGAATCTGTGCAAATTTAACATGTGAATTTTACTGAGGCCATTGTAACCTTGCTGTGCTATTTCAACATTCATTATAATAAAGGAAATGAGAAGGCTCTATTTAATAGCTATCATTAACATGATTTGTATTTTTGAAGCCATTGCAAATACAATGTTTTAAATAAAATAAACACATTACAAGGGTGGAAGGATTTTACATAGTAATGTGTGAACACTTTTTCATGGAAAACCTTAATCAGAAACATAGATAGACGTTTTTCGTTTAAGTGATAGCCGTCAAATGAATGTACCGGCTTGGAAAGTATTCTCCTGTAAAATGAAAAGTATAACTTTATGTTGCATGAAAGGAAAGCAATAAGATGCCATCTGAGAACCGTTTAGTTTTTTATTTGAAATTGTTCAACATCTTACTTGTGATTCAAATGCAATCTCTTATTAGTATTACCAAAGTTCAATATGAGGCAACTCCGGTGATCAAACTAATCAACATATTTAAATAATATAATAACTTAAGCTCAAGCCCATGTGGACATCATTTAAACATCTACTGTTTGTAACAACTTACATCCACTTACTTATTATGTCAGTCATACCAGCAGCCTGGATGACCCTCATTTGCTTATATCTTTAGCGTTTAGGGCGAATCTGGTTTTCTTACATCATCACCATACAAAGCTTTATTGATACATACATTAGATCACACAGCATTAAGTGCACCGGTCATTTCTATTCATTAAAGCACAATGTAGATTATATTTATTTCCAACTTCAGCTTGAGTGTCACCTTGAAACCAAAATAACAAAAAAAACAATTTGATTCCACTACAAAATACATAAATATACAAAACAAAATGACATGTTGAAAACATAAAGAAATCTATTTGCAACTTAATTGCAGTTTTTTAAATCTTCAGCATAGGTTGCATTGCTCAGTCCCAGAGGTAGCTGCCTGGTGAACATTCATCCAGACGAAAAAACTGCTGCATTTATGTGCCTTGTCACTTGTGTGGGTACATATGGAAATCTACTTGTTGGTGTAAAGTTTAAACCATGTAATACCTTTTCAATTCAAAGTTACATCTTCTAGTCAGTGAATCCTTCTCATGTGGATCAATAATGAATCGTTACGTCCGAAATTGTTCCCACGTGCTTTACAAGTAAACGGTTTCTCACCTGTGTGGACTTTCATATGCCTTTTTAATTTTGACATCTCAACTAAGCTTTCCTCGCAGGTCACGCAAACATAGGGCTTTTCTCCTGAATTTTTTTCCACATGTTTTGCAAGAATATTTCTTCTCATAGGTGTGGGTGGTCATGTGTCTTCGCAGTATTGACATGTACTTAAAATCTTTCCCACAAGTTTCACATTTTAAATTATTTTTCACTGTGCAAGTATTACGTTGCATGTCTGACAAGTTAGCGTTGTTTACTTTGTTCCTTTTGGTTTTGTGATGTCTTTTGTTTATTTTTGGATCTGCAGTTCTTGTTAACCCTGCGTCATTAGAATTGTGAGAGATGAGCTGCAGATTACTTTGTGCTTCTGATACCACAACGCTTATAACTGGCATGTTGCCTACAGACTCTTTTGCACAGGTCCGTCCGCTGTGCACACTTTCCTCATCAGTAAGAGTCACCATGAAGACATCAGTCTCCTGCTTTAGTTCAAGCTGCTCTTCCTCCTGACTGGTGCAAAGTTCCTCCTGTTCCTCTTTAATCTGTGGAGGCTCTGTGTCCTCTTGGTCCAGACTGGAGTTCCTTTCCTGACTACAGAGCTGCTGGTCAGTGAGAACCTCATCCTCATTACAGACATGTTGCTGAGGGAGCTCTGGAGGGACAGAAAATAAACAAAGTACTGTTAGTGTGGTGTTAGGGAAGCAAATTGCATTCAATGCTGGGCAATGGTGTTAAGATCAATATCACAATATCAAGACAACAACAAACAAGACTACAGAAATGCATTATGCATAACATTTATGAATAGATTTTATAAAATACAAATAAAAAACATTAGGCCACCAACCTTTTTAAGCTATAACATATTCCAATGTGTATTTTAACTGCTGTGTTTTGTGTATTTGTGATCTGTTGTTGGAGATCTGAATGTGAATTAATAAACAGAAAATAGCTAACGAGAGGCTTTAACCATAATGAATCCCATTCAGATTGTTTTATGATTTGTAAGTGTCAGGGAATAATTCTGTATACATGTTTACCTTTTGCCCTCTGACGCAGATGCCCAACCTTGGGCAGCCACTAGGCTTGTTTGAGACGAGCTGCGGCTCGCCTCGAAAGTAGACGAGAATAGCCGATCGCAGCCGGGGGAGGTCTCAAAAAGCTCGCCTGAAGTCGGACAGCTCGGAGTCGGCTTCTTCTTCTTCTTCTTCTCTCGGTTTTTTGGCGGATTTCAAACAACTTTAAGGTGCATACTGCCACCTCCGGAGTCGGCTTGACTCGGTTTGCACTTATAAATGCACACGGCATCTATTGCACGTCTGTCCGTCCTGGGAGAGGGATCCCTCCTCTGTTACTCTCCCTGAGGTTTCTCCCATTTCCCCTTTAAACTGTGGGTTTTTCTCTGGAAGTTTTTCCTTGTATGATGTGAAACGTAAGGACAGAGGGTGTCGTATTGTCATACTGATATTCTGTACAAACTGTGAAGTCCACTGAGACAAATGTAACATTTGTGATATTGGGCTATATAAATAAACATTGATTGATAAAGAATGGACAAATGTGTTTAATCGTTAATGTCAGATATGTACTAAGTAAATACATTTGTTCCTGCTCAAGATTAGATTCAACTTTATTGTTATTGCACAGATTACAGGTACTGAGACAACGAAATGCAGTTTAGCTTCTAACCAGGAGTGCATAAAGCAGTAAAGTGAAAAGTAATGTACACAATCTACAGAATAAAATATAGAATGAATTGAATGATGAATAAACAGTCAGGGGTATGAATACACTATATACACAGTAGCCTAGCCTAGTATGAACAGTGTGTTGTATGAATATGCTAAGATATATAAAGTATGACAACGGTAAGCAGTGCAAGTATAGTATACAAATATATAGATATTAATTTAATGATGATAAACATTGTGGAACAATGATGAAAAATGTGAATGGAAGTGGCGACGTAAAACTGACACAAAACAACAACACAATTTAGCCGAGCCAATGGAGAGTTTCATCTCCAGCACGGGGTAAAACCCACCAATGAGCGCTCAGCTCCAGATACCAGCGAGTCGTTTCCCATCAAGCATTTCGCTTCCGCAGCCCGTGGAGAGAAACTGCGCCGCCTCGCCGCGCCTCGCTCTCAAGTCTGCGGGCGTCTTTGTCCCGCGAGATTTCAACGTCTCATGTAGGCGAGCCTCCAGAGCAAGTCGGACAAAATGACTAACCATCATGCAACGCACTAGCAAGACGTTGATCGCAATTGCGCAGGTCTGCGCAGGTCTCGCTTGTCTCAAACAAGCCTGCTCTCCCTAAAGCCTGCGTCACACTGTCCCAAAAATTGACACCAGATGGACACACGATAAAGGACATTTTCA